TGAAAAACTATGCCTTTTTCCTATTTCTTCTCACTACTTAGATATTTTTTTGATGTGGAGGTACACACAGGCATTCCGTAATTTATAACCATTGGCATTAATTTTTACGTGATGGCAACACAAATTTTACTTTTTGCAAATTTTACGCAACAACTTTTTCACTACATAACTTAAAATTTCACAGAACAGTTTTCAGGTTTACACATTTATCTGTCACCTTACAAAAGCTTTTTACAATTACATGTTATTTGAAAGTTGATTCTGTAATATTTGCATTATTTTAGAGGATAAGTTAAATTTTTCCCTTAGAAAAGTGACCTTAAGCTCTTTATGCTTTAATATCCAATTACTTAAATTTTATCATAAAGAAATGAAAATTAGAAGAATAAATATCTTTTAATTTCTACGCAGCTAGTAAATGAAAAATGATTTTCAGAATTCCAGTCTAAAGAAAGTCATTCTTCCGTATTTACTATGGAGTCACCGAGTAGATTACATGATGCTTATTGAACCTTAAATAATTTTGGGGGGCTAAGAATAAAATATATTGTTACGAAATGCCCAGCTACGGTGTGATAGCTTTCCCGCAAAGCGGGGCTAGGGTTGTCAGAAAGCGTAGGGAAAGGCAGGGTTGACAGATTTGACGCAGAATCGCTCATTTGATGACAAATGTGCCATAGATGGAGCGAGAACATTCTAGAACGAATTCTAACCGCTTTTCCCGATAATGTTCTTGAAGGCAAGTCAAAACCTATTATACCGTGACTATCCGCGGAGTATATTGAATAGTATCTAGAGCGCAATGAGTTCAGTAGTACTGTCTTGAGTTCCAAAAGCGATCCACCGAGTCGGGAGCTGTACAGTAGTGCTTTGCGGTGAAGCTGTCTTCACCGTTAGAGTTTGATAGCTTGAAAGCTGTATTGCTGATTGTTTCCGCATGTTTGTCGTACTTTTTCGACAACTGTAACACGTCTTTGGAACTGTCTTTTGCAATACTGACGAATAAATTGTGTTTTGATTCCTCATCAAGTATTGTCATCAAGTACTGCAAATCTGTGAACCCGCAGAACGCAACTAGATCAATCTTAGTGATGATAGTAGATCTTAGTAATCTTAGTAATGATATTAGATCAATCTTATGCAACTATATTAAGAAATGATAATTGTTTTAGTAATTTTTCGCATTGAAACTCTGAACAATCCTTACGAAAAAATTTCGTCACTCTTATTTTTGAAAGAGCTATCACCTGTAAATTTTTCTATTCTCTTGCCTCTAACATTTGAAAGATACATACAATATCTTTCCTCAAATCCTATGCCAGAAACAAAATACATGGTTAAAGCATAAAAAATGTCGCAATGCAACCAAAAAGTCGAAAACATTCGTGCTCTGACAACAGTCGCGTATATTACGGTACTTGTCCTAAATTTCAACACTATATCAAATTGTAATTATTATTCTACTGCACACACACTCTTCCGGAAATCTATTTATTTTACGAAATCTTTGAGTATATTTTTCAGAACATTTAAAATGAAACGGAGGAAGACAAAAATATTTTCTACGAAGATTTTGAAATCTTCGCGAAATAGAAGGCATTTTACTCTTGAGTTGTGTTACGACATATAATAAAGGTGGTATCAACATATCTCTCATCAATCATACAGAATTAAACAAATATGGGAAATTTCTATAAGAGCTTGTAATCGATTGATTCTTCAAATGAGAACATTAAAAGATCTCTTTTCTTCGGTTAATAGCATAATTCTTTTCTTATATATTTCTTATAACGGCCCACGGTATAAATAAATATGTGTTTATAAACACATCGACAAGTAAACCGCGATTCACACTTACCGACATTTGTCATTTTAGAATAGTAACAACCACGTTAAATTTCTAAAGTTAGAAGTACCAAAATCCTACGGAAAGCCAACATGAACTGTAATAAAATAATAAATGAGAAATAATAATAAAAAAATCTGATGTGTACACCACATGACTTCCTTGTATTGGAATATTAAATTATACGCATTTTTTCTTGCATTTCATTTAAACTTATTGGATTGAATTAAATCTACTTCGCCGACAGCGCATAAACCACAATAGAATAAATGCATTCTTTAAAATTCACTCTAGTATTTGTTTACCATAGCGAAACTCTGGCGCTAGATTCACTTAACACTATTAATCATTATATAACAGTTAACTTATATAATAATTATATAACGGAAACTAAGTTAACTGTTATATAATCCAATAATTATATAACAGTTAACTTATATATTTCGTTCATATTATAACTCATAATGCACAAAATTTATCTCATTTAATTAATTCAGTTCTCACTTCGCGAGAAGGCAAAAATACATAAAATTTCAAAATATCTATATTAAAAATTACGAAGTAAATCTCAAACACTTATTTCCTCGAAAAAATTCCAGAAAGAATTAAGCATGATTTAATTGGCAATAATAAATGAATGCGTTATCTTTGTTGTTGCGAAGCTAAGTTTCTCTAGATTGGCAACAAATCCACTAGTCTCCTGTTTCAAATGTAAACATCAATGGCCGCCATTAAAAAAAGCCTTGGCAAAATTAAACAACTTTAAAATTGCTGATAATTCTAAAATATTGCACACAGATTTACTAAAGGCATAAAATCCTTAACCAGAAGATAAAAACAACATAATTCAATCATTTTTAAAGCAAAAAATGTACAATTTATCAACATATAAGAGTAAAGAAACTGAGATTACTGAGCCGGGTAACAGAGTGGATATATATATAAATATATTTATATACGTTTGGTGCGGCCGATTGCAACCAAAATACGAGGTGCACATCTACATGTTATAGCAGTCCTATATACAAAATTTCAACGTTCTGAGGCTACTCGCTTTTGAGTTATGCGAGATACGTACGTACTCACGAACGTACGTACGTACGTACATATGTTCGTACAGACGCCACGAAAAATTCTCTTCAGAATTAATTTTAAAGCAGTTTTATAGTTTTTTTTTTTTTTTTTTTGTTTTTTTTTTTTTTTTTTTTTTTTTTTTTTTTTTTTTTTTTTAAGGAAAAGAGTATTTATTCGGTCCTTAAGTACAGATTCACGCAAAAAAAAAACATCGTTAAATTGCATTCGATAGCGGTCAAAATGGATATTTTTCGTTGAAATATGCTGCCTGAAACTTTTCGCGATTACAATACTTCCTTTTTACTTCGTACAAGGAAGTAAAAAATAATGCATGATAAATATAAAATTTTAATATTTGAATAATAAATTAAAATACTGGAGCTCATATTACTTTACATAACCGGTATCCGGCTGAATTTAAACCCGGATACCAACATAAGCAATGAAAAACGGTCTATTTTCATGTTACAAACTTTTTAATGGCCCACCAGCGGCCGAGCGGTAAAGTCGCTGAACACTGGTAGTTCGGTCTGAGGTTCCAATCCCGCGAACGGGCTGGCTGTATGTGTGTTTTCGTGGTTTTCCCCATGTGTAACGTGTATACGAGCCAGTTTCCTTTAGACAGTCCTCCACGAAGGCATCCCTCCCCTTAGGCAGATAGCCTAGTGTGCTTTGCCATAATTAAATACACCACACCACACCAAACGTTTTAATGAACATATTAGTTGACAATTCACAATCGTTTTCATAAACAGAGGACTGTGTCCTTTTGAACTATTGATTGTCTGAAACATAAGTTTTAGATAGTCGAGTAGCAATGAATGACTTACAAGCTTTAACAGTTAGCAGAATAACCTTTAACCAAAAATTTATTCATTGAAAGGAAAACATGCCGATGTAAAATTTAAAATTAGGTAAAAAAGCAGCCTCAAATTTGCGTAGATTTTCAATAAAACCATATCGCTAATGATTTTGAATAAAACCGTAGCGGTATATAATTTAGAGACGAGCAGACATATCTCTTCTTCAAAATTAAAAAAAAAAAAATTGCTCTTGAAGCAAACTTTTATTCTTGCTTTAAAAGGACCTACGTCTAATCGCCCTCGAAACAGGTACAGTTAGTTTTATTCAGAGTTCTATGCTAAGATTCATTATTTTATATAATTTTAAAAAATGGGATCTAATTTAGATATGGCAATAAAAAAGAGCGTATTAGAAACCTAATGACTAAACCTGGAAAAAATGGTATTTCGTTTCAATTTAGATTCTTTCAAGTGAAAAATAATCTGTATATTCCTGCTGCAGTTTCTTCCTTTTAAGATGAAGACACGTGCGTTTTACATTAGGAAGCCTTCATGAAGGAGGCTGCCCTCTTAGGCTGAATCCTTCTTGTGTTTTGTCATGATTAATTAATCAAGTATTTAAAAGACACGAGACGCTACGGCCAAATCTTTTATTTCCCAGACAATATGATACTATATTTTAAGAAGCAATGAAATATGAAAAATGTTTATTTCTATAATTTGAAAAACGTATAAACACGTACAAATTCCCCTTTTTTTCCCCCCAAAATAGAATAGCGAAATGTTCTCTGTATGAAAAGTTAATTATTGACAAAATGACAAAAAAATTCTAGCAATCAACGCTGTAAAAATAATTAAGACTGCAGCAACTTTGTTAAAACTCTACTTTGTTCGTAGAACAGATATATGCAAAGAAAAGGGAAAAGAAAAATACCTTTTACGATTTTTTTATGTGTGTACATGAAAGTTTATAATTAAATTTTTAAATTCCGTTTATTTTATAAAAAACAGAGATAGTCTGATCCTTGCATTCTTAATTTGGCACAGATAACAAAATGTCATTTTCTACTTTTTTGTTTAAATTTGGATTCATATAATGTAGTTTCAAAACTCCGGGCGAATCACTTTCAAAATGTTGCATAAAAAAATGCCGTCAAATCTCCCAAGAACAAGCTGCGATTTAAGAATTACCTTCTGTATTAAATAACCTTGTACACAACAGGTTCCAAACATCAGGTTGCGTTCGCCATTAACACTGCCTTTAGAATTTTATTTTTTATTTTAACGTCATCGTCGTGAATTAACGAAAAACAGAGTTATTGGTGTAACTAATAACATCCTACACAGAGGAAAAGATTTGTGCGCAATTAGATCATGCAACAAGTGTTGTGACGTTTAAATAAACCTTTCTAAAATTTTGAATTTATAAAGTAATTTAATTTAGTTTATTGCATTCTCTTGCAATTCAGAATGGAGCTTAATGAGGTAATGTATTATTCTTCATTATCTTTAATAATAATAATATTATAACAATAAAATGCGTGATAGCAAAGATAACATAATAAAAACGTCGAAGAGTATTTAGTCTTATAAAAGAAGGAAGAAAGTAAAATTTCCCAATGCAATTTTTAGAGTATTAAGAAAATAAATACAAAAAAATCTGAAAGCTTCCAAATTTTATATTTCGCCCAAGGGGGCCTTTTTTTTTAACGTTTTGTGTTTTACCTTTATTTATTAAATATCATGTTCTTCGCACTTAAACTATTAAATTCTATTCCCCAATTCCCCAACACTAGACTAGAATTTCCGATACCCCGGGTTAGCGCGCTAGAGATAATTCCCCCCCCCCCGGTACAGTGTTGCCGTTGCTCGCTTTGAAATCGTTGAGTTTCTTAATCAAAAACTCAGAAATGCTTTACAAAATATGAAAGAGGTAATAAAACAAATTCCAAATTTGGGCTTTCAGATGCCCATATTCGGGTGGAGGATTACGTTATTTAAGATTTGATACTTACCATTGTTTTATCACAGTGAGAGAAACATACATATGTTTATATAGAGTCTCCATTAAATTTCTATAAATATAATACAGGGTGATAATATTTGGTGGCAACAATTTGAAAATTGATTCAGACTTTTGAAGTTTTCGACGCAAAATGCCAAAATTAAATTAATAGCCTTTCTGGGCTAACGCCCTTTAGGCTAATAATGTTCCCTTACTAACAAATATAATTGTTTCAATAAAAATAATTTACATTTATCCAATATCATTTTTATCACAAAGGGCGTTAGCCCAGAAGGGCTACTAATTTCGTTTTGGCATTTTGTGTCGAAAACTTTAAAAGTCTGAATCACTTTTCAAATTGTTGCCACCAAATATTATCACCCTGTATTATATTTATAGAAATTTAATGGAGAATGTGTATAAATGTATGTATGTTTCTCTCATTGTGACAATTTTATATTTATTTAATAAATGAGTAAAATAAGACTATAAATTTCCATTTCTTCTACTGAAATGCTTTTTTCTACTTCAGCACCTTTTTTGTCTCATCTAATATTAGATGATGCTAGCATAATCAGAATACACATAAGCAATTTTTTTTGAAAAGCTCGGTGCCTTTCCTGCTGAAAACATTCCGTGAATTTTAGAAAAAAGTTCGGTATCCTTTTTCCCAGCCTATGTGCCCTTCCTGTGTGATAAATTAAATCGTTCAATTATTTAAAAAAAAAAAAAAAAAAAAATTAAATGAATTAATTTTAAATGTAGTAGACAGGTGAAATTCTACAAAATAAATTATTGTTTTACAACAAATTCGATATTATATAATTCTCCAAGTAGTAGTATGAGGTGTTAAGAAATGTTGAGCTGAATTTAACGAGGAGTATCTGTTTAGTAAGTCATTCAAATCTGAGTGAGATATAAATAATAACATACTATTCGATTCGTCTCAAATTAAAATACTTCGAAATGTATCTGCAAGAATCATCGATGTCAGAGATATGAACCTTTCAGCCATTTTTATGCTATGTTTATATGGACCTTTTAGCCATTTAAGTTAAAAAGCTTTTTTTGCTAGAGCGGTTCATTGTATTAATGAAAGATTCTACTTTTCGTACTCTCCTTTTGCAACACGTTCAGAAATTCAGTTTAACGTTGGTAATGAAAAGTTTGTAAGCGTTGTTTTAATTTCCTAATAGTTATTTTTAATTTTGAAACTCTATCCTTTATTCTCTTGTTTTCCACTTACAACTCCTTGCCAGAATGAGTTTTCAGTATCACGTTTTATTTAAATGACGTAGAACCAGTATTTATGGGAAGTCCCGGTCACTTCCGTAGAAGAACTCAGTCCTCAGTAGAGCGTGTCCTGCCTTCTGGCCACGTCGTTGCTTTAAGCCAGATCTTACTACGTACTTCGGCCGTATTATTACGTTTCTGTTAGTATTCGCATGTGAGGTTTAATTAAGAGCCAACTCAGTTAGTTATTTCTGTACAGCTTAGGCTAAAATTTAGTTAGTTAGCATTAGTTTATTTTCTATCTTAAGTTCAAGCCCAAGTGGGGGTTTCCTGTAAGTCCGAAAGGGACCAACTGTAAATATTGTTAAAATAAAAGAGTATTTTAACCTTTCCTTGGACTTGTTTTTGCATTTTTAAGAACTCAGCAATTAGTCGCTATACGCTTCTCAAGTACAGTTACCAAGGGTAAACAGTTTAAGTTAAACTGAATTTTTTAAAAAGTAAAATCTTTTATTGATGTCTGCATTCTATACCTATTTTCATTGTAGTAAATATGCCTCATTTCTGAAAACTAGTTTAAAATTATTGTTTTTCGACTTCTTTGATATTTGTACGATCGCCGATACAGTCCATCTCAACAATTTTAAAACTTCTACACCCGTTGGAAACTACGGTTAAAATACACCTGGAAACGTTTACTGAAATTTTACCGTAGTTTACTCGTTGAAAACTACGGTAAAAAACTGGATCAAAATTTCTACCGTCAACATTCTAATAAATATTCTACCACCTTATATGCATTGAAACAATCTTTAAAACATGTGCCTTTTGCTTCGATTCAAGAACACTCTTAAAATGAAACTTACAATCAGATTTCATTTCCAAATTATAATTCACTGTTTATCGTATAGAATTAAAGTCCAACTTTTCAGAAAAAAAAAAAAAAAAAAAAAAAAAGAAGTCCATTTTAATTACATGCACCATGAATTAAATCAATAGAAATTTTTCATTTTAGCTTTTATTTATTTCTTTGCATTTAAGTTGAAAATGGCCATTTTTTTTCTTTACTTCTCACCTCTTCCTGCGATAGTAGGATGTAGTTTGGTCAAGGAAGTTAATTCAGAAGTGGGATTATATTATAGCGCTTGTCCCACTCCCTTTTTGCCCCCTCTAGTGTTGCTAAGTGTAAACGCTTATAACTAACAACTGGAAGACCGACTTTCGAATCCTGGCAAGAATATAGTTTATTTCTCATGTTTTTTGCCTGAAATATCGAAGAGTCTATGCAGAATTTAGTGGCTAGTCCAACAACTCGATTGATTTTAGCCCTGTAGAAATTTTTAAGTAGAGTAACTATCAAAAACAAGAAAAACAAATTCTATTTTGTTTCTGTATTTCTTTGTTCCATTCTTGGAAATATGAAAGAAACTAACCAAGCTTTTTTATTGATTAAATAATGAGGTAGTAAAGACGAATTCCATCCGATAACAGCAAAACTTATATTTATCAGTCACGAACGGCTTTCATCGATATCATTTATGTTCAAAGCAAGAAGATACCGCAGGTACTCTTTTATCATATCTGTCGCTCATCAAAAATTATCTTTGGAAAATTAATCCGGTGTTAGTAAACATTCAGCATATTTGCTGAGGGTAAGCTTTCTCTCGGTTTACATTTTTCAACATTAGGTCAAAAATAGGGACAAACTTACTATACAGTTGATGGCAAGCAAGATCATATCGATCCTAGCATCTGCTAATTTATCGGTGATTAGATTTAAAGTCAGAATGTTCAGGTTCAATAAAAGCTCTGGTTTTTTCTTCTAGAAGTGTAAATTAAGAAGCAGATTTCTTAGCCTAATTAGAGTCTTTAAACTATAAAACCAATCCTTTTCCAACATCAGAATACAGTGCAATATGCAACATTTTCCGATGGTACCAGAGGAGATTCCTTTTGTCCACTTAAATACTGGGAAGCATGTTAAGTTAATTTATTGATGCCTTATCATCATCGAATTCATTGTGTCAAATTAAACTTCCTTTGGATTTAATTAATGCTTACGAATTGGCTGTTTTTTTTATCTTTTCAGTTATCTAAATCAAATTGAATTTTTTTGAAAAGCCAACTGAACTTTATCTGAAACTAAAGAAGGTTAAGACAATGAAGAAAATGGATAACTTATATTTTGTTTGTTTGTTTACTTTATAGTGAATATTATTGTCATAGGGATTATTGACTTGTTGGCCATATGACAATAAATAACCCAGAATTAAAAAGGAAATTTCCTTTTTTTTTTTTTTTTTTTTTTTTTTTTTTTTTTTTTTTTTTTTTTTTTTTTTTTTTTTTTTTTTTTTTTTTTTTTTTTTTTTTTTTTTTTTTTTTTTGTTTTTTTTTTTTTTTTTTTTTTTTTTTTTTTTTTTTTTTTTTTTTTTTTTTTTTTTTTTTTTTTTTTTTTTTTTTTTGTTTTTTTTTTTAATTTTTTATAAATTTAAATTATAAATAAATTAATTTATTGATAAAATGCAACAAATTACCACTTGCTTTATACATACTTACCAAAACTCAAAGAATTGTGCAAACCAGTCGATTCTGTACCCAGATGTGTAATATTTAAAAATATATTTTATTAATTATAATGATGTTGCAAATATGCGTCATTACCAAAAGGATATGTTTTAAATAACTCGTATCTAAAATTTTACCGATTAGATATGTTATATAAATTATCAGAAGTGCATTTATTACTTTTATAACATAGTGTATGAAATATTCATAACTTGGGAGACAAATTAAAGATCTTATATCACATCGAAAGGCCGAATTCTGAAAGTTATCTACTTAATAGTCTGAATTGAAAATAAATTAAAGATTATATGTATCGTATAATGGTAACACTTGCAATTTCACTTGGAAGATAAATGGATGTCAGGTTAGCGTAAAGTAATGTAAGGTAACATTCCAAATTATTTCGAAAATGCTTCGATAAAAGTACATATGACATCATTAAGTACTGTAAGTCTTATCAAGAAAATTCGAAGTCAAAAATTTATTAACAGTGTCATTAGTTTTAGAATAATAACACATTTCAAATTTACACTCTTTACTTACCGCAGTACATGTTAAGAAAACAACTAGAAAGTGATTTTATTGGAATGCTTTTTTTATAATACAAATGCATTATTTTGTTAATTATTAAATCTCTTTCAAGTATGGACAAAATGAATAAAACATTACAAAATTTCGATTA